AGAGAGAGAGAGAGGAAGAAGAAGAAGGAGGAGGAGGAGGAGGAGAAGGAGAAGAAAGAAGAAGGAGGAGGAAGAGGAGGAGGAGGAGGAGGAAACAAACAGAAATATGTCCACCTCCCGGGTATTGCCTGAGGATGGAAAATGGATCCCAATGCTAGAAATCAAGAAAGTAGATTCTCTGAGCCCCTCCCTCAGGCCTGAGACTCTAGGAAGGGAACTTGGAGACCCTCTGGACATGGCCCACGTGGCAGAGCTGCCTTCCACATACTGAATAGGAAACTTGATACCAGGTAGCAAGGCTTGGACCCAGAGGCCAGGTCTGGGCCACAACTAGGAGGGCAGGCTGGACTATGAGCCTAGAGAGGAATTAAGTTAGATAGAGAGGAATGGAGTGGTCTGGGGAAGATGCTGCCTGGAGAAGCATGGAATTGTGGGGAGGTTCTCCCCTAGAGATGGAGTTGGGGAGAAACCTGGTCAAATCACCCTGGGTATGAGCAAAAAAGCTTTCTTCCCCCTATAGGGCATTCAGAAGAGGCCTGACATCCCTGCCTTCATTCTGGCATCCTTTTATACCTGAGCTACAAATATGAGCCAGCAGCATACAGAGAGTCACTGCTCAGAACTGCAGGCCTGTGTCCGCAGGTACCTGGTATGTCAGCATCCATACAGATGCCAGAGACCAGTGTCTACCTGTGCAAGGTGAGCCTCCTTGGCTCTATTATGCAGCTGGGGTAGAAGCCAGGACCCTAGAGCAGTAGATACCTGTTGTCATACATACTGCCTCATTTCCACTGTCCTGGGCAGATAATCACCTATTCATCAAAATACTTTCCCCACTGAGTGAATGAATGAAGCCTCAGAATCCTGAATACTCAGCTCAGGGGGCATCACTAATCAACGGTGGCAAGGAAAAAAATAGAGAGGAAATCAGAGAAGGTTGGAAGGGCTTAAGATAAGCTGTTCTCTCTCCTTCCAAACCAGTCTCTCCTGTTCCTCTTCTTGGGCAGCCTGTGGGTGCTGCACAGCTAGAGTGGCTGTTGGATAGGCTGACATCAGTCCTACAGCACCTGAATGAGATGGTCTTGATGACCAGGCAAGTCTCCTGGGTAGACTTGATGGCACGGATAGAGCTGATGCAGGTGAGGCTTTCCTATATCCCTGCCTTCTGCGTGGACACAAGGCATGAAGCTGAGGACTCAGCCAGCTGCCCTCTCTCCCCAGCCCACTTCCATTGGCTATAACTTCTTCCAAGACTGACCCAACTGGCAGTGTGATGGGTCCTTGGGGAGGTCACTCTCCGCGCTGATCTCTTTAAGGAGGCCTACAAGCTCATACTCTAGTCTTGGGACTCCCTCATGGCCCAGCTGGACCCCCAGCAGGCCCAGAAGCTGGTGCAGCTTCTGCAGAAGCCAGCTCTGTTGATGGGTACAGCCTGATCACTCCCCTGAATTTAGCTGTTTGTAATAAACACACTCTGTACTCTCTGCCTATGCCTCACCCTGTCCCCAGAAAGTGATGCCTATCTCATTTCTGAGCTGAGGCCTAGAAAGACAGGGAATCTTTCAAAATCACACAGCACAGAGCAGCACTCAGGCCTCACCACAGGTCTCTAGTTCATTTCCTCAGTCTCCCGGGCAGTCTACTCACTGCAGTCCTAATCCAGGCCAGGAAGTTTTTGGGCTTCATTACATGGCCTGATTGGGCTGACCACACCCTCGGATCCCTGTTGGTATTGTCCCTGATGTCCCCTGGGCTCCCACAGTGTGCTATAGTCAACTTTCCATCACTGTAAGGAAACTATCTGAGATAATTAATTTATAATGAGGAAAAGGTTATTTTGGGTCAGAGTTTCAGAGTTTCCAGTGCATGACTAAGTGGACGGTCTCCAGTCTGGCGGGGGTGTTCAAGAAAATGCAGGAAATGTATAACAGAGCAAACTGCTTACTTCACAGCCAGATAGCAAATGAGGAAAAAAGAGGAAGAGATTGGTGTCTCACAATTCCCTTCAAGGGCATGCCCCCAGCGACCTAACTTCCTTCCATTAGGCCTCACTGTCTAAGGGCTCCACCACTCCTAATAGCACCACTCTGGGGACGAAGGCTTTAGCATATGGGCCTAGCTTCTGTGTCTTATTCTCCCAATTCAGACTAAATTTCCTTGCGGATAGCCCCAGTCCCTACTTTTGACCCTGAAAGTTTAGTTCTCATTGCTTCCTCCTCAGTCTGGGACCTTGCAAAGTCCTTTACAAAAAGGACTACACTGAAGGCCTGGCCCTGGGAATTCTCATGCATGACCCCTTCTCAGACAGGCTATCTTTAAGGCAGAACCAAGGGGCAATAGGCATAAACCAGCACCTGCTTCCCCTCCACCAACCCTTTGCCAAGAACCTCTCCCCACTCTTAGTTCTCTTCAGAATCCCTGCTATTGTAAGAGTTCTAGGTTTCCTTGTCTTATGACAACACCAAGGGAAACAAGAAGTTCCAGAATGTGGGGTCCTGGGCTTAGGTCAGAGAGGGCACAGGGTCAGGGGCTCAGGCTGAACACAGACTCAGGACTGTGCTTGGTCTGCTGGGGCTTTGGGGCCCAGGAAGTGTCAGCATGGTCCTGGAGCTCTACATGGATCTTCTGTCAGCATCCTGCCGCGCTGTCTACATCTTTGCCAAGAAGAATGGCATAGCCTTTGACTTCCAGTTTGTAGATCTGCTGAAAGGTCAGTCCCTACTACCTGCTACCCAGGCAGGTCTCATCCTGAGGTGCAGCTAGAACACCCAGGAGGGTGTGTTTTGAGAAGCAGAGACAGAAACAAAGGCCACTCTCCACAAAAGTCTGCAAGGGAATAAAAGGTGCCCAAAGTGTCAAGGTACACAGTCTACATCTCTGTCTAACCCACCTTAGTCAGAGTCCCCACTAATGATGGTGAGATGAACAGACTCTCTGAGAGAAAAGGGGAAGGAAAGACTTCTAGAGAATCCCTGAGCTCCCAGTTTGCACCCTCACCATCTCCTTGTGGGGGTCTTGCATCTTGTTATCTGTAGTACCTGCCAATCAGTCTAGTAAAGTTCACAGAAAGGTAGTCATTCCCCACATGAGAGTGCAGCTGTTGTTCAGTCCATCTCCATTTTTCCAGGTGTTCAAGCTTGTTTAGATGACTGGGGATGTAGCTCAGTGGTAGAGCTCTTGCCTAGCATGTGAAAGACCCTGGATGCCATCCCAAGTACCTGTCCCTCCAAAAAGTATATGAAGAGTAAACCTGCTCAGGGTTACACCAACCTCACAAGAATGTCATGGGAATCAAACACCAGCCCCACCCCAAGAATAGAGGAGGTTCTAAAAGCTCAGCTTATGCAAACAGAAGCCTCCAGACTGTAGAGAAGGAGACAATGTAGCTATGGAATGAATGAGGTATAATTGGAGCCCTAAGAAATGTTTCCACTTAGAAGCATCTGGTTAAGGAGTCAAGAGTCCTGATTCCTGCTCCCAGTGGAGTTCTACTTTCAGATCTGATGACCCTGATTGCTTATGAGGGATTCCTTTTTGGACACTCAGCTGTGTTCAGGCAGCTGTGGCTGCCCTGTTCCACTTAAAGAGGGGACAGAGTGAAGGAGTGTCAGGAATAGCGGGCAGGTCCTTAGGGCTCCTGTTCATTCAGAAGCTGTGGCTTCAGGTAGTGATGGAATAGGAGCTGGAGACCTTCAGTTTGGGGAGTCAAAAGACTGTCTTGGTTCCAGGGCACAAGGGTCACCAAGTCTAGGGTATGGGCAGGGTAGAAGGTAGAAATCCTGATCCTGGCTCCTATTCTGTTGCTGACTTGCCCCAGGATCATATGGGCCTTTGGAAGACATTCAAGATCCAAACTATAGCACCCAGCTTCTGTGTCTTATTCCTTAAGGCCTCAGTTTCCCCTTCTGGATGAAATAGGGAGAAATTTCTGTTTCTAGGAAGCAGAGATAGGACCCCAACAGCCTCAGACCCTCCCTGCTCCTCTCAGGTCATCACCATAGCAAGGAATACATTGAGATCAACCCCCTGAGGAAGCTGCCCAGCCTCAAAGATGGAAAATTTATCTTATCTGAAAGGTAAGTGACCTTCCAGTACTCTGGGCATGGAATCCAGGGCCTTGTAGATTTTCCCAGGAAATTCAGTGGGAACCCCCTCACCTTGTAGCATTTACTTACTTTTTTGTTTTTAATATTTTTAGTTATAGATGGACACAATATCTTTATTTTATTTATTTATTTTATGGGGTGCTGAGGATAGAACCCAATGCCTCACATGTGGGAGGCCAGCAGTCTGCCACTGAACCACAACCCCACCCCTATTTACTTATTTTGTTTTTACCATGGAAAATTTCACACATGCACTAAAGGTAAACACATGCTAACTAATATGCATATATGAGTATAACAAACCAACATACCCATCTCCCAGGTCCAGCATTTATCAATTAGGGTTTATTTTGCATTATTCATACCACATCCGGTTCCTCTTCCAGACACCCATAAATATTCAGTTCACACCCATTCCACTTATAAATGTTTAGGATATGTCTCTAAGAGATAAAGACTCTTCAAAAACGCACCACCCCAATACTAACATGGCAATAAAATTAACAATAATTCTTGGACTTCAGAAAATATCCATCTCCTAGTCAAAAGTCTCTAATTATCTCATAAATATTTTTTGGCAGTTTGTTTGAATCAGGGTCCAAAAACGTTCTGAGTATTACAGTTGTTTGGTCTCTCTCTTATGCCTCTCTACCTATAACCCCCTGTCTTACTCCATCTTGGGTAGCTATCATTGAATAGTACTGACTGGTAAATTTATAGCAAATAAAGGTTGAATTTATTCCATGGTTCAGGATGTCAAAAAATCTAAGAGCATGGAGCTGTCATCTGCTTTGCTTTGGCTGAGGGCTCTCCCTCTGGATCATAGCATGCCACAAAGAATTACATGGTGAGACACAGCAAGCAAGCCAGAGAGAGCTTGCTTTTATATTAAATCCACTCCTATGGCAAACCATTAATCCAGTAACTCTTTTAACTGCAAATGGATTAATTCATTTATGGGGCCTCTTCATTCTTAATGGTCCAATCTCTTAATAACTTACAGCAGGGATTAAATCTCAACCCGAGTTTTGATACAGACATTTAAACTGTAGCATCCTCTCCATTCCCTGACCTCTTTGTCTTAGCATATTTATTATTAATTATGGTGAAGAAATTGGGTCCTTTGTCCTATGGAGGCAATGCCTAGGACCCATCCATCACCAGAATGTCTCCAATATGTACTGCATTCCCAGGCCTCTGTTCCTAATTCCATCCCACAAATACCAGAAACCCTTGCTTGGGTATTACTGGATGCTGGAGCTATCATCTTGCCCTTTCTGTTATTAATTCTGACCCTTCCATCCAGCACTAGAGAAATGGATTCTCTCTCATCCCTTGTAATCTTAAGAATTAAGTCCAAACTTCCCTGCATTTCCAAGGGCCTCCATACTTGGGCTCAACAGCATCTGACTGTCTCTCTTCACTCCCTGACCGGCCCTGTCTACTTTATGGTTTACTTGCCTGCCCTCCATTTCCCAAAATTTACCTCATGCCCTCTTGCCCTGGTGTTTTGACATACGTTGTTTCTCCTGGCTAAACTGCCCTTTCTTATGCCATCCAATGACTCCTGCTCACCCTGCAGGTCTCCTTCCCTGCCCTTGCTGATTATTAGACTGACAGCTTGGGGGAGACCTTTCCCTGGGTCCTTTGGACTCCTTCTCCTGGAAGAATGTCAGCATCTAGAGCCTGATTGTGGCTGGAGGCCCCAGCAATTGCGCCCTAGCCACGCTGGGGTGGTCAGTGTTGGAGCCTTCAGAAGATAAGAGAAGTTGTCCTGACCTGCCCTTTCTGCAGTGTGGCCATCCTTTTTTACCTGTGCCGAAGGTACAGCACACCCTCCCACTGGTACCCACCAGACCTGCACTCACGGGCCCGCGTGGATGAGTTCATGGCCTGGCAGCACACGGCCATTCAGCTGCCCATGAGCAAGATACTCTGGATCAAGGTAAATGGGGCCATCTCTGGGGATTGGGGACAAGGGGGAAAGGAGTTAGGAAGCCTAGAGTCCAGTCCCAGCCCTGCTGACCACTAATGAGCTCAAGAAAATCTTCCTCCCTCTTTGAGCTTTATTTCACCTGTTCCCCCTACCTGCCTTCCTTATAGAGTTGCTGGGAATGTGGAATGTACCATTGAGTATGACAGAGTCTTGTTAAGACAAGGAAAAAAACACCTAAGAAGGGCTGATAGGACTCAAGCCAGAACAGGATTCAAAAAAATTCATTCTGAACTAGAGAATGTAAAGGGCCCATTGAGATTAGAAAACTTGAAGATGATAAATAACATGTGTGCCCTTACTTCTAATCCTAAGCCTATGTCTTAGTCCATCTTTCATTGCTGTAACAGAACATCTGAAGTTGGGTAGCTTATTTTAAAAAAGAGAGAGAGAGAGGGAGGGAGGGAGGGAGAGAGAGAGAGGGAGAGAGAGAGAGAGAGGGAGAGAGAGAGAGAGAGAGAGAGAGAGAGAGAGAGAGAGAGAGAGAGAGAGGTTTATTTTGCTCACAGTTTTGGAGGCTGAAAGTCCAAACAAATGGCACCAGATCTGGCAAAAGCCTCATGGCAGATGTCATCACAGTGGGAATGTATAAGAAGGATCACATTGTAAGATGGGAAGCCAGAAAATGGGGAGGGGCCCAGTCTTGCTCTTTGGAAAAACTTGTTCTTTTAAGAACTAACTCAGTGTCCCATGAGAATTACCTTAATTCCTTCTAAGGGCAGTGACCCCAGAGATATACTACTAATCGTCACACCTTTTAAAGGTTTTACCACCTTTCACATTGCTCTACTTGAGACCAAATTTCCAACATATGAATCCTTGGGAGGTACACTCAAACCAAATATAAACCATAGCAACCTATGCAAACATTACTAACCAATCATAGGATTCACTCTTGATAAGGTCTCAAAATCCTTCTGATTACATGGCACCAGGCAAAATCTACCAATCAGATCTGCTAAAATAGATGAAACTACTTTACAGCCCTTGGTACTGTCCACTATGTATCTAGCAGACAAGGATATAGAGACCTGGAGGAACAGATGGAATAGAATTGTAGCTTCCATTTCCTTCCTCTCCCCCGACCTGGTCAGTTGCTGATCCCAATGATCACAGGTGAGGAAGTTTCAGCTGATAAGACAGAACAGGTGCTGGAAGAGGTGAAGCAAAACATGCAGTTCTTCGAGGAGAAGTTTCTACAGGACAAGCTGTTCATCACTGGGGACCACATCTCACTGGCTGACTTGGTAGCTCTAATGGAGATGATGCAGGTGTGGGGTGGGGTAATGGGGGGTGGTCAGAGGATGGGCAGAAGCTGGAAACTTCTGTGATCAGTGTACCCACAACTTGAGAATAGACTGTCAAAGCAAGAGAAGCAGGCATGCCCATCCTGAGGATTGTGGGAACCAGATCTGGGTGCCTGGATTACATTTGGGAAGCACAGAAGGTTTTGAATCAGGGAAGATCATGATCATCTATCTTGGCAAGGCTTCCACAGCATGTGGAGGAACTAGATGATGAACCTAGAATACAGAGAATACCACATTTCTCAGTCCATGTCTCCTCCTCCTTCTCCTCCTCCTCCTCCTCCTATGGGATTTTCTTTTCTTCTTCTTCTTTTCTTTTTTCTTTTTCTCTTTTGGAACTGGGGGTGGAAACCAGGGCTTTGCGAATGCAAGGCAGATGTTTTGCCACTGAGCTACATTCTGGCCCCGCTATAGGATTTTCCAAGAAATGTTAAGAGGTCTTGCCTCTTTTCCAGAGCTCTATACAGAGAGTCGTATGGGTAAAACTCTCTTGATTCTGGGTCTGAGGGGTATCCAGTATGCATTTGGAGGCATGCAGGGGTGTTGGGGCATTTATGTGGCCTTTATATGCAGGGTAGAGTAGCTAGTTTGAAGCTAGCTGTTACATGCAGGATGGATAATTTAACCCTGGCCAGTGTCTTGAGAGCTGGTATGGTCTCTGGCTGGTATGAAAAATAGCCACTTTGGTCCCTGGTCAATGTGAAGTACAGACCAGCACCAGGAAAAACTATTCAAGAATGTCTTAAGTATACAGCCCAATGCTTCGCTTCCATTCTTTACCTTTCACCCACATCAACCTCTCATGAGCCTCCTGAAAACCTTGGTTAATTATTTTTCTTTTCTTTTTTTAGGTACATATTTATTTTTTAGTTGTAGATGGACACAACATATTTCTTTTTTAGTTGTAGATGGCCAGGCAAGCACTCTACCAGTGAGCCACAACCCCAGCCCCTAAGTTATATATTTCTTAAACAAGCAAGACAAATCTGTAGGCAGGTTGCCTCCTGGGTCTCCTCTTTCATCCCCTGTGCTTGATCACAGAGAAGAGTTCAATGTGGGGAGAACAGAACTGAGTTCCTCCACCAAGGAACAAGGAATCTACCTGGAAATGTGTAGGAACCATGGGGGGGTGGGTTCAAGCCAGAGAAGTGGGAACTACCTAGATCAGGGATCACCTAGAGAGGGGTTCAGGAGCCTTGGAGCAAGACCAGTGACCAAGAACCCTGGGGGATTCTGAAATACCTATTTCTACCCCACATCTAATTACATAGTTTGTGACCCCTTGTCTGGGTCTTGGGGGCCGGAGGATGACTAACCCTTTGTAAAGGCAGATGGGGAGGGCCTTTGAGGCTATAGGAGAAGACACAAGTGGCACTGACCACATCTTCCTCTTTGTCTATCTACAGCCCATGGGGACCAATTATAACGTTTTCCTCAGCTCCAAGCTGGCTGAGTGGCGCATGAGAGTAGAGCTGGCAATTGGCTCTGGCCTCTTCTGGGATGCCCATGACCGGCTGTCGAAGTTGGCAGAATGGGACTGTTCAACACTGGATCCACTTGTCAAAGACAGAATTTCTGACTTTGTGAAGAAGTCCAAGTGACCCCAGAGGCAGCTGATCCAGCAGGACTTGACTGGCTCAGTCCTCTCAGCCTCCTTCCTTAAAGGAGATACTAAAAAAACAACTGTGTTCTTTTGCCCAATAAAGAATTGGAACATCCATCATGACTACTGAGTCAGAACAGTTGGTATAAGCATAGAGCCTGATGTGGGAGCAGGTGGTGGTCATGAGTCTTCCCAGTTTCCAAAAAGAATATAAAGTCTTTTGGGAAAATTAAAGGTTAAACATGATTATATTGTCAATAATAATAGTTGATTATTTCAATACCCATTTAATAACAGAATAAGATAACTAAGGAGCAATACTATAAACCATTTGGGCCCAGAAACAGTCCCACAACAATAGCAGAGTAAACATTTCCCTCAACGGAACATGGGATGTTCTCCAGCATAGACTAAATGCTTGGCCATAAAATAGGTCTCAAATTTAAGAATACTATGTAAATTATGTCTTCTGAACACGATGAAATAGCACTAGAAATCACTAACAGAAGAAAAACTAGAAAAGTCACAAGTATGTAGAAATCAAACAACGTACTCATAACCAATGGGTTAAAGAAGAAATCACAGGAAAATTAGAAAGTGCCTTGAATAAATGAAAATGAAAACAGAACATACCAAAATGTATGGAACACAGTATAAGTAGTTCCAAGAAGAAAATTTATGGCTGTAAACATATAATTTAAAAAGAATGATCTTTGTTGGGCAGAGTGGTGCATGCTTGTAATCCCAGCTACTCAGGAGGCACAGGCAGGAAGATCACAAGTTTGAGGTCCACCTGGGCAATTTAGTGAGACCCTGTCTCAAAAACAAAGGCTGGTGATATAGGTCAGTGTTAGAGTACCCCTGGGTTTCAATCAAAAACCTAACTTTACATCTTAAGGAACTAGAAAAATAAGAGCAAACTGAACCCAACACCATTAGAAGATAGGAAACTGGGCTGAGGATGTAGCTCAGTGGTAAAGCGCTTACCTGGTATGCACAAGGCCTTGGATTCAATTCTCAGCACTGCAAAAATAACAAAACAAAACAAAACAAAAAAAGAAACAATAAAGATTAGAATGAGGTGAATAGAAAAACAATAGAGGAAAAATAATGATCTTTGAAAAGATCAACAAAACTTACAATTTTATCTAGAATAATCAAAAAATAATAAAAAATTACTCAGACCAGGAAAGGAAACAAGGACATCACTACTGATCTTATAAAAGTACAAAGAATTATAAAGAAATATGTATTTTAGATATCCTAAATGGGAAATTTTCTAGAAAAACACAATCGTGGGGCTGGGGATGTGGCTCAAGCGGTAGCGCGCTCGCCTGGCATGCGTGCGGCCCGGGTTCGATCCTCAGCACCATAAATAATTTTTTAAAAAAAATTCTTTAAAAAAAAAAAGAAAAACACAATTGTCCAAAACTTATTTAAGAAGAAATAGAAAATTTGAATAGACCTATATAATAAATAGATCAAAAAATATTAATTTTAAAAAGCTTTCTATAGTTGGGCCCAGTGGCACACGCTGGTAATCCTAGCGGATTGGGAGGCTAGGACAGGAGAATTGAGAGTTCAAAGCCAGACTCAGCAACTGCGAGGCACTAAGCAACTCAGTGAGACCCTTTCTCTAAATAAAATATAAATAGAGCTGGGGATGTTCATTTTTTTTTTTGTATTAGTTCAATCCCTAGTACAAAAAAAAAAAAAAGCTTTCTATAAAGAAAACCCAAAGACTAGATGATTTCATTATGACTTCTGCTAGATACTTTTTTCCATCCCCCAAATCCAGTCTTTTTCAAAATTATAATTATTTATAATCATATTAATTATACAAATTAATTGAGTTTCACTATGACATTTCCATACATGCACATATCATGTTTTGATGGTACCTACCACTGCAGCATCAACAAAGGATTCTCCAGTAGGAGCGACTAGAGATGAAGAAAAACACAAAGAAGACACAGAGAAATTTTCATGAAAATCTGGGGCCAGATGGGACTGCACTCTGATAGAGGAACAGTGACTTAGAACTAGCTTCACAAGTTTATTATATAGGGTCGGTCTCATAATCAGGAAGTTAAGGGGCATTGTAAATTATTCAAGGTTTTTTAAGTGGTCAGAGGCTTCTTTGTGCATTAAACAGTTACAGAGCTAGAAACATTTTGCAGCAGCTATACTACTGCTGCGGTACTAAGAACATTCTGCCATTCTTCTGCTAAACCCAGGACACCCATTGTCCTGGGACCTCTGATGACTGTTAGCATCAGAGCGGAGAGTCAGGGCTGAGAACATCCTTGCCTTTGGCAAGGAATTTTTCCCAGGCTTGGCTTTGCTAACACCGCAGGATCAGCTGATGACTAGGGGTTCATCTGCTTTCCACATCTACCCTCCCTAGTACCCCCCCTTTTTTGGCAACAGGGATTGAACTCAGGGCACTTAACGATGAGCCACATGCCCCAGCCCTTTTTATTATTTATTTAGAAACAGGGTCTCACTAAATTGTTTAGGGCCTTGCTAAATTGCTGAGGCTGGCTTTAAGCTTGCAATCCTCCAGCCTCAGCCTCCGTAGTCTCTGAAATTACAGGCATGTGCTGCCATTCCTGGCCCTACTATCTTCTCTTATCCTCCCCTGGATCCTCCTCCCCTTACCTAATAGTCTGTGGGGTTTTTTCCCAGATCATTTCAGTTCTAATTTTTTTTTATTTTTTTTAAATTTCTACATATGAGAGAAAACATGTTGTACTCATCTTTCTGTGTCTGGCTAATGTGATAACCTTCAGTTCCATTCCTTTTCCTGAAAATGACATGATTTTATTCTTCTTTATGGTTAAATTGAACTCCATTATGTATAGACACCATATTTTAAAAATCCAATCACCTGTTGACAGGTACCTAGGCTCATTCCATATCTTGGCTATTGTGAATAGTGCTGGAGTTTGTGAATACTTAGCAGGTTCTCTTTTATATGTTTTCCACAGTGGCTGTATATTACATTCCCACCAACAAAATATAAGAGTTTATTTTACTCTGCATCCTCACCAGAATTGCACATTGTTTGTTTGTTTTTGCAGTACTAGGGATTGTACCCAGACTTTTCCACATACTAGGCAAGCACTCTACCACTAAGTTATATCCTAAGCCCTTTTTAAAGTTTTCATTTTAAGACAGAGTCTCACTTAGTAGCCCAGTCTGACCTCAAACATGCAATACTCCTTCTTCAGCTTCCTGAGTAGCTGGGATTATAGGTGTGCACCACAGTACCCAGATACTGTTTTTTGATAATAACCATTCTGACTAGGGTAGAATGGAATCTCAATGAAGTTTTGATTTGCATTTTCCTTGTGAGTAAAGATGTTGAACATTTTTTCATAAATGTATTGGCCATTTGTACCTCTGAGAAGTGTTCAGTTCATTTCTTGATTTTATTACTTGTTCTTTGATGTTAACTTTTTTGAGTTCTTTTGTATATTTTGGATATTAATCTTCTGTCAGATGAATATCTGGAAAAGATTTTCTCCCATTCTGTAGGTTTTCTCTTCCTTCTGTTGATTGTTTCCTTATCTGTGCAGAAGCTTTTTAATTTGATGTAATCTCATTTGTCAATTCTTGCTGTTATTTCCCAAACTAGTAGAGGCTTATTTAGGAAATTGTTGCTTGTGCCACATCTTGAAGTGTTTCCTCTATGTTTTCCTTTAGTAGTTTCAATGTTTCATCTCCTTTACTAAGTTCCTTGATCAATTTCAAGATGACTTCTGAACAGGGTAAGAAATAGTAATCTACTTTCAATCTTCCTTATGTGATTATATAGTTTTCCCATCATCATTTGTTGAAGGGGCTATCTTGTCTGCAATATATTTTTGGTTTCTTTGTTAAGAAACAAATGGCAGTAGGTGCATAGATTTAATTCAGGGTCCTCTATTCTGTTCCATTTGGCTCATGTCTGTTCTTATGCCATGTTATTTATGTAACTATGGCTCTGTAGTATATTTTGAAATCAGATATTACAATGCTTCCAGCATTGCTCTTTTTGCTGAAGATTACTTTGGATATTGGGGGTCTTTTGTTCTTCCATATGAATTTTAGAATTGTTCTTTCTAGTTCTGTGGCAAAAGTCCCAGTATTTTCATAGGGATGATATTGAATCTGTAGTTGTTTTTGGTAATATGACCATTTAAATAATATTAATTCTCCCAATCCATGACTTTGGGAGATCTTTCTCAGTTTCCTTCTTCAATTTCTTGTTTCAGTGTTTTATAATGTTTTTTCACTGTGGAAACTTTCACTCCCTTAGATTTGTTCCTAAGTATTTTATTTTATTTTTAGAGATTATTTTGAATGGGATTGCTTTCTTGATTTCTTTCTCAGGAAGATGATGATGATGATGATGATGATGATGATTTTGTAGTTGTAGATGGACAGAATGCCTTTATTTTATTTGTATGTGGTGCTAAGGATCAAACCCAGTGCCTCACACATGCTAGGCAAGTGCTCTGCCACTGAGCTACAGCCCCAGCCCAGGAGGTTCATTATTGATGTATAGAAAAGCTACTGATTATTGTATTTTGCAGTCCTCCTGCCTCAGCCTCCTGACCCATTGGGATTACAGGTGTGCACTACCACTGCCAATTCTATCCCCTTCTGTGTCCCTGATTGGTTTCCCACTCTGTAGAGTTTCCAGTGAGTTTGTTTCAGTAGCTCTCCCCTGGGCCAAACTAAGTCTCAAAAGAGATGCCCACTAGGACAGTGTAGTAATGTTTGCTGTGGGTTCCTGAGCACAGGAAAAGGCAGGGTCTTTATTTTTCAAAAGCAGCAAGTTCAGACATGATCCTTTCAAGAGGACTCCCTGTGACATCCCCATGAGCACACAATGGAAAGTGCAGAGAATTTCTCCAGTGCCAACCTGCTGTGCAGATCCCCGTCAGTTGAGTTCAGATTTCCTTTCTTCATGGTGGCAATTTCTATCCTAGTTGCATTCACTGGGTCCCTTTTCCTCTATTACCCCTTTCTTAGTTACACTGCCACGCATCTCACTTCTATGTGCTCAGTGGTACACACACTTTCTCACTCAGTTTTACTCTCTAGAGTCCCTGGGCTTTTCCAAATCTCTGTTC